ACTTCACGTTCCTGGGATCCAAGATCACTGCACGCGGTGACTGCAGCCATGAAATTAAAAGACGGCTGCTCCTTGGGAGGAAAGTGATGGCGAACCTAAACAGCATGATAAAAAGTAGAGACATCACCCTGCCAACAAAAGTCCACATGGTTAAAGCAATGGTATTCCCAGTAGTCATGTATGGCTGCGAGAGTTGGACTATAAGGAAGGCCGAGCGCTGAAGAATAGATTCTTTCGAATTATGGTGCTGGAGAAGACTCTTGAGAGTCCCTTGGACTGCAAGAAGATCAAATCAGTCAATCCTAAAAGAAACCAACCCTGACTGTTCCCTGGAAGGCCAGAGACTGAAGTTGAAGCTCAAATACTTTGGCAACCAAAATGAGAAGGGAGCACTCACTGGAGAAGACCCTGATGCTGGGAAAGACTGAAGGTCAAAGAAGACGGGGACGGCAAAGGATGAGATGGTTGGACAGTGTCATCGAGGCAACGAACATGAAATTGAGCAAACTCCGGAGGACGGCGGAAGACGGGAGGGCCTGGCATGATGTGGTCCATGGGGTTGCGAAGAGTCGGACTCGACTGTACGACTGAACAACAAGAAAAGCTAATATTTATTGATTTATCATTCTTTATGGCATCATTCTATGGATTGCTCTGCCAGCCCCTTCGACCCTTTTGGAGATAGGTGGGATGCAACCGTTCCAAGATGAAGGCAGTAAAAATATCTACCTTGCTAGCCTTTAGGAAGGCACCTCGGAGAGCCTTATCGAGGACAGCTTCTGGTAAAAATGCTGGCAGCTGCTGCTTTACTGCTGATTTCTGGATGCTGATCGTACCCATTTGTAATGAGCTTTTTAATTGTTTTTTATAGATTGTTGTACGGGTTGTTTTATGTGATCTGTTTGTGAGCTGCCTCGAGCCCCTCTGGCAGGATAAAGTATTTTTGACACCGATAAACAAATGTGAGCCCAAGCCGGAGGGGGAGGCGGGCTCTTTCACCACTTCCCGAAGAACTCAGCAGATGTCTTGCAGCCGGCAGCTAGGTGGGCACTTCCGGGGCTCTACTTTCGAGAGCCATCTCCCTACCCGGGAAAGTAGAACTGGGCGGCACTGGACTGGTTTTCGTCACCATCAAAGAGGGCCATCTAGCAATGGGCTGTGGGTGGGACTGGGTCAGATTTGCTCTTCTCATTTTATTTCTTTTGAAACTGTATATATCCCACCTTTCCAGCTTCTGCCTGGGGAGACTTTCATCAATGGGGGGCTTTGTTAACAAAACACACACCTGGGTGTTGCTGGCCAAGGTCATCCAGCTTGCCCAAGGTCATCCAGCAGGTGCAAGTGCAGGAAGAAGAAGAGAAGAAGAGATTGGATTTATACCCCGCCCTTCACTACCCAAAGGAGTCTCAGAGCGGCTTACAAACTCCTTTCCCTTCCCCTCCCCACAACAGACCCCCTGTGAGGTAGCTGGGGCTGAGAAAGCTCTGACAGAAACTGCTCTTCTTCAAGGACAGCTCTGAAAGAACTATGGTTTGCCCAAGGTCATCCAGCCAGGTGCAAGTGGAGGAGTGGGGAATCAAACCCAGTTCTCCTAGATTAGAGTCCGCGCACTTAACCACTACACCAAACTGGAGGTGGGCGCAACCGCAAAATTGCCCCTGGGTGAACAGAGCCAACCACAAAATGGCTACTGTGGGAGGTGGAAACCTCAGTTCCGGAGACGGAGAGGAGTAATTCATAAAAATACACTGGGAAAGAGGAATGAGGGAGGAAAAATCCAACACCGTGGTAGTAGCTGCCACTCAAACACCATGAGATCTCCAAGGGCCAATCACAAGTCCTGCTAGGCCGGAGCTTCACCTGGCCCTACCCACTTTCTGAAAACACTTTGGTGGGCACAAGAAAAGGGATCAGAGGGCACCACGTTGGAGACCCCTGCTCTAAGCAAACACTTGAGCGATTGACGCAAACCAGCTGCCAATGAGAGTATTTCCCAGCAGTGTTCCCTCTAAGCTGAGTCAGTGTGAGCTAGCTCACAGGTTTTTAGCCTCCGGCTCACACATTTTTGTCTTAGCTCAGGAAGGAGGGCTCCAGAGTCAGTTTGGTGTAGTGGTTAAGTGTGCGGGCTCTAATCTGGGAGAACCTGGTTTGATTCCCCACTCCTCCACTTGCAGCTGCTGGATGACCTTGGGTAAGCCATAGTTCTCTAAGAGCTGTTCTTGAGAGAGCTCTCTCAGCCCCACCTACCTCACAGAGTGTCTGTTGTGGGGAGGGGAAGGAAACTGTAAGCCACTCTGAGACTCCGAGTAAAGGACGGGGTATAAATCCAATCTCTTCTTCTCTTCTTCTTCTCTTCTAATTTATGCAGTAGCCAAATCACTGCTAACCAATTTAATGCCAGCAGCTCACAAAGTAGAATTTCTGCCCAGAAGACTCCACAGCTTAGTTTCCCACCCACCCCATCAAAATGGCAGTGCCCATGTCTGCCCGTTTAAAAAGTTGTGAACGCCGAGTAAAAATCTGGCCATTTTACGCCACCAGAACAGCTGCGTTTCCATTAACAGATTCATATCGCTATGACAGTTCCCTGGATTTTAAGATATTTAAGCTCCCGTTTGACAGTGCTTGGTAACAGATGTTTAATGATATATTTAATTTTTAGGTTTAGCAAAGCAAGCGCACATCACGCGTTACTTTCTGTAAAGTATAACTCTGCAAGGATGCCTCAGCGTACAGTAGTTCTGGAGAATTTATTTCAGCCTTTGAGCGACTGATCTAAAACGGGGAACTGGGAAATTAGAGCGAGAGTGTTCAAACAAGTCTAATAGGATTTCTAGTTTGCCAAAAAATAATGCTTTCAGAAGCACAATCTTTGGTGTAATCTCTCTCTCTCACAACAAGACAGATGGCATCATTAATTGCCTCTATATCTAATTAAGTTGGGGGGGGGGAGAGAAAAACCCTCGGCTTAAGTAATGCTAAAGTTGTGGCACAAGCTGAGAAACGTAGGAAATTGCAAGGTAGAACAACTGGGTGAAGAGTGAAAGGAAGAAGAGCCGACAGGAATGAGAGGAGAGAACAAAGAGGGCTTCAGTGAGGACAGAGCCACGATGACTTCCGGAGAGAAACTCGACCTGAATCCTGCCAAGGACATGAAGACGAGGGAAGGATACACACATGCAAATATCTGCCCAGGAAAAACCAGTGACAGTTTTGAAGAAGAAGAGAAGAGATTGGATTTATACCCCGCCCTTCACTACCCAAAGGGGTCTCAGAGCGACTTACAAACTCCTTTCCCTTTCTCCTCCCCACAACAGACACCCTGGGAGGTAGGCAGGGCTGAGAGAGCTCTTGACAGAAACTGCTCTTTTTCAAGGACAGCTCTTATCAGAACTATGGCTTGCCCAAGGTCATCCAGCAGGTGCAAGTGGAGGAGTGGGGAATCAAACCCGGTTCTCCCAGATTAGAGTCCGCACACTTCACCACTACACCAAATTGGATATTGCACCCCTCCTTTTCCTAGCTTGCATTGGACCAACTGCCAGAAGAACGCCTACCTCTCGGTAGAAGATACCGCATGGGCCCCTGCCCTTGGTGAAGCTGCATGTATGAAGTTCAGGATCACAGTCATGGAGTCGTGAGCAAGGCTGGCTCTGTTCCATGATTCTGGCACACACACCCCTTCCAATTTAGCAATCAGAGCGAATCATGCCAACGGTGTATATATGGTATAAAGAATGTCTTCATAAGAACATCAGAAGAGCCCTGCTGGATCAGACCAGTGAAGGTCCATCTAGTCCAGCATCCTGTCTCACACACTGGCCAGCCAGTTCCTCTGCAGGGCCAGCAACAGGGCAGAGAGGTCGAGGTCTTCCCCTAAGAAGCACCTAAGAAGAGCCCTGCTGGATCAGACCAGTGAAGGTCCATCTAGTCCAGCATCCTGTCTCACACAGTGGCCAACCAGTTCCTCTGGAGGGCCAACAACAGGGCAGAGTGGCCAAGGGCTTCATATGAGCATAAGAAGAGCCCTGCTGGGTCAGACCAGTGAGGGTCCCTCTAGTCCAGCCTCCCGTCTCACACAGGGGCCAACCAGTTCCTCTGGAGGGCCAGCAACAGGGCAGAGAGGCCAAGGCCTTCCCCTGAGAAGAACATCAGAAGAGCCCTGCTGGATCCATCTCGTTCAGCATCCTGTCTCACAGTGGTCAACCAGTTCATCTGGAGGGCCAGCAACAGGGTAGAGAGGCCGAGGCCTTCCCCTGAGAAGCACCTAAGAAAAGCCCTGCTGGATCAGACCAGTGAGGGTCCATCTAGTCCAGCATCCTGTCTCACACAGCAGCCAACCCATTCCTCTGGAGGGCCAACAACAGGGCAGAGAGGCCGAGGCCTGGTGTTGCCTCCTCACACTGGGATTCAGAGGTTGACTGCCATCTTCACAGCTTCTAAAATGTCTTAGCATCAAACGGAATTATCTCATTAGTCTACCCAGTGACTAATGAGTGACCACAGAATAATAATAATGCTTTCGACACCTTCTTCCACTTTGCAAAAAAGAAAAGAAAACCAGAAGCAATATCCAGGGCGTTTGTTAGGACTGCAATGAAAAATGGAGACCTTGCTCCATCGGCCTACCTGCTGGCCCATCGTTTGGGGATGGATGAATGTTGCAAAGTCGATGGAGAAGTACCCAACCACTCCTCTGGCTTTGCAGGCCTCCCCGATCTTCGAGCACAGGGAGTTCAGGACCCCGGGTTCTACGGAAGCCTGTGGGAAGGTGGTTCCTGACGATCGCAAGGGACCATCGGCGTGGATCTGGTCCCCCAAGGAAACCATGGTGATCTCGCCCGTCGGTTCTATCAGCATATCCACCGTGAGGTTGGTGACGCTGTCGGAGGGCGGGAAAGCTTCTATGACTCCACCTGGTTGGGGGGGGGGGGGGAAAAGAGAAGTAGCTGTCAAGCGAAGAACATCCTTGGAACCAGCCCAGGGAAGGCCCCGTTGAAGCATCCGCCTGGGGTGGCCAAGGCCATTCCCAGCACTTGAGCCGACTGAAATCGGCTTCCGAAACCAGAAAAACACAATGCATCGTCGGTACTGGGGAAGGAGCGGGTTTCAAAGAGTGGGGCCTTGACTTCCGCGAGGGGTTCACGGTGACAAAAGCCACCTGAGGCCTTGGGAAGGGGATTTGCGTCGGGAGAAACGCGCTCTCTGAAGAGGTGCCGTCGAGTGGGTGTGCGGCGCAAGATCACAATTACCCGGGGGAGACGCTGGATACGTTTTTGCTTCTGCGACCCGGAGGCTGGCAGAGAATCCGGTACCCAGAGAAACATGGGTTTCGACTTACTGGCCTTTCTGGTGGAAGTTAAGGTTGTGGGAAACTGGCTGAGGGAGGGAGGTGGCTCTTGAGAGCCAGAACACGCGGGGGGTGGGGGTGGTCAGAACCAGTGCTCCCTCTAAGCTGGGTTAGTGTGAGCCAGCTCACAGTCTTTTAGCCTCCGGCTCACCCATTTTTGTCTTCGCTCAGGGAGGATGGCTCCAGAGCAAACTAATTTATGTGGCGGCCAAATCACCTGCTCACGACTTTAATGCCAGCAGCTCACCAAGTAGAATTTTTGCTCACAGGACTCCATAGCTTAGAGGGAGCCTTGGTCAGAACCAGTGTTCCCTCTAAGCTGAGTTAGTGTGAGCTAGCTCACAGTTTTTTAGCCTCCAGCTCATACATTTTTGCCTTCGCTCAGGAAGGAGGGCTCCAGAGCACACTAATTTATGCAGTAGCCAAATGGCTCGCTCACAACTTTAATGCCAGTAGCTCACAAAGTATAATTTTTGCTCATAAGATTCCACAGCTTAGAGGGAGCCTTGGTCAGAACAGGGATATTTTTGGGCAGGAACGCACAAGAACAGAGTTCCGGCTGGCTCCCAAGTTGGCCACGCCCAGCAGGAACTCATTAGCATAATAGGCCACACCCAACAGCAGAAACTCATTAGGATTGGCTACCTTAGGGGTGTGTGGCCTAACATGCAAAGAAGTTCCTGCTCCAAAAAGAGCCCTGGTTTGACAACAAACAAGGTAAACAGGATAACAAGCAAAAGGTGGGTGTGGCTGGATGACCATAGTTCTGGTAACGTGGGGTGTGGCCTAATAGGCTAATGAGCTGTGCTGTCAGGGGTGTGGCCCAATATGCTAATGAGTT